ATTTGAAAACGATATTAAAATAAAACGAATTTAAAAATGCAAAACTATAATAACCTTGCTGAGGTGTGTACAAACCTGGTGACCAACTACAAAAACGTCTTACCTCTGTGCTTGCCAACAAGGGTTTCTGCACCAAGTACTAAGTCGTGTTTTGCTTGGGGATCAAATACTTATTTCACTCACTGAAATGCAAATCAATTTCTAACCTTTATATAATGTGTTTTTTTCTGGATTTTTTGGCTGATATTCTGTCTCTATCCATTAAAATAAACCTACCATAAAAATTACAGACCCTTCATTTCTTTGTAAGTGGGCAAACTAACAAAATCAGCAGGGGATCAAATAAATATTTTCCCCACTGTATTAGTCTCTATGTATTGCATTTTTAAGAATAAATAAATAATATTAATACATCTGGACATCAAAATGAATGTCACAAAGAATAATGAACTTCTCGTATTAACTACAGCATAAAAGAGAAACTGCACTTGTTGTACTTGTGTGTTGTATGACTTAATTTACATTTGGACTTTTGTGTCTTCTCCTGTACAGGTTGTGATAAACTGTCCAATTGTAAAAGGATTGAAATATAATCAGGCAACGCCAAACTTCCACCAGTGGCGGGACACTCGGCAGGTGTGGGGACTAAATTTTGGCACCAAGGAAGATGCAGTGCTGTTCGCCAATGGCATGATGCATGCGATCGACGTCATCAACTCCTTGCCTGATGGAGGTAATGCACATGCACATTTTCACACCATTGTGACAATTCTGTCATTAATTACTCACCCTCATGTCGTTCCAAACCCGTAAGACATTCATTCATCTTCAGAACACAAATAAAGATATTTTGGATGAAATCCGAGAACTTTCAGACCCTGCATAGACAGCAACGCAACTGAGACATTCATGTGACATCAGTGGTTCAACCGTAATTTTATGACGCTATGAGAACACTTTTTTTTGCGCAAAGAAAACAAAAATAAAGACTCGTAGCTTCATAAAATTAAGGTTGAAACAGATGTTTCTAACGATGTCCTTACTACCTTTCTGGGCCTTGAACGTAAGTTGTGTTGCTGTCTATGCAGGATCAGAAAGCTCTTGGACTTCATCAAAAATACCTTTATTTGTGTTCCGAAATGAACAAAGGTCTTATGGGTTTGGAACGACATGAGGGTGTATAATTTTCATTTTTGGGTGAACTATCCCTTTAATGTATAATGAAAAATTGAATGAGACCTTTTACAGCTGCATTGTCTTTAGGTTACCCCACACGACCCGTGTCCAATGGACCATCCCCAGAAGAGCTGGAACAACAGAAAAGGTACAAACTAGGGTTTATTTGTAGTGGTGTACGGAACAAAAATTTTTTTAATGTGAAGTTACGTTTTTGTTCACTTCCTGTGGCATCGTGTGAATTGCCTGAAGTCATGGTTTCCCTGGTCAGTCTTTGACTTCATTTACAGTGGTACACACACATACCCATAAGCACACACTCCCCAGGGATTACTGGTATTAACGCTCAAGTATTTAGCTTTCCGTTAGCCCCTGAAGTGATGGGGCAGAAGTCCGGGTCAGGCCTTCTGACACTTAAATCCTCTTCTTCCCTGCCTCATTCTCCTCTTCTTTCAGCCTGCAAGACTGCAGACCGAAAAAATGAAACACTGGTGTCTTTTCAAACTTAAAATCTTATATTTTTTTATTGTATTTTTGTGCTTTTTGGCAGCTTAATAATAAAGAAGATACAAAGTAAATGGGCATATTTAAATAATTGCATTGCTCACACAGCTCAACCATAGTCTGTTAATCACTATGCCACAGCTTTAAATCAGACTTAATTTAAGTTGTTTAACTTAAATCCTCTTCTTCCCTGCCTCATTCTCCTCTTCTTTCAGCTTGCAAGACTGCAAAAATGAAACACTGGTGTCTTTTCAAACTTAAAATCTTATATTTTTTAATTGTATTTTTGTGCTTTTTGGCAGCTTAATAATAAAGAGGATACAAAGTAAATGGGCATATTTAAATAATTGCATTGCTCACACAGCTCAACCATAGTCTGTTAATCACTATGCCACAGCTTTAAATCAGACTTAATTTAAGTTGTTTATGGACATACTTTTGTAACTACAGCTGTGGTAGGTTACTATATTTTTATTTGATTGGTTAAAAGAGTTCTTAACTAGTTCAAGTTGGTCACATGAATTTGCCACATTGAATAACAGAAAACTGATTGGTTTGAAAGCGACTTCTGTGTGAGCTTTCCTACATACCTCATCACATCATTATGGCACTTTTGATAATAAACAATGGACTTTTTGGCAATTGAATTTTGGCAAAAATGGGCAAATGTGACCATACCTTAACTATTGGTTTAAAACAAGCTACAAAAGTTACGGCACTGCCGAATATTAGTGTGCCACTAATAGCTTAAAAATGCCCGTGCAAAATTATTAATGCAGTTTCAGGATTCTGTACATGAATGCATTCAGTATGAGTAGGAACATAATGAACTTAATTTACCATCTGTTTATTAGCATTAATAATAATGATTATAGAAGAAAAAATTTAATTTGTTCTTCTATAAGAAAATATCCCTGGCAGCAGTGGAAAACTGAAATTATTTTCCAAATCTCTGGAATGAGACTGTAGTTCCAGAACATGCTGCACTCGTCTCTCTCTCTCTCTCTCTCTCTCTCTTTGCATGTCTAGTCGTTTTGGTTACCTTGATAAAGACTTTACATGGAGCTAGTTGACTCATGTCTTGACTTGACTGAAATGTTTTGAATGGCTCTCAGAGAGGCTTGACTTGACATGAAACTTGACATTGCAGTCTTGTAAGTGTTGCTACAGAGAGTATTCATTATATGTTTTTCTATGTTTGCATGCATGTTTCAAGTTTGAAGTCATGTTTCATGTATACTGGTTCATTTGAGGCATCTCAGACTGATTAAAAATATGTAAACCCACCAAATAATCGGCATCTCATCCCACATCTACTGTAAACTCAAGTTAAGTGACAAAGACTATAGGTCACTCCTATTGAATTTACTGGTTTGGACTTCAACTCAAGAGTCAACTCAAAAATCAAGAAGCCTGTGTGAACTCGTTATATATGACAACAATGAATTACTTAGCATGAAATGCACGTCATAGATTTGAATGTCCATGTATACATCTAATTTATTGAACTTTTTTTTTGACCTTGTAATTTTTAATCAGAATGTCATAAATGGACCAGACTTCATTTAGTCCATTTAAACCCACTGTTATTTTATTAACTTATTTACTTGAAGTAACACCTTTAAGTTCATTTTTCAGTAATTTATCAACAAATTTCAAGTTTGTAATTCTTTGACGTTGGTCACATGACATGCAGGTAAACAAAATATTTATTGTATTATAAATATTTTGTTTTATTTAGATTTTATTTTACAATCTGTGTGATTTAATGAATTATTACCTTATGAACTCACAAATTTCAACATGTCAAAATAATTGCAATGCCTTTGTCTTTTACTGCAGATTAGAACTACAGAGGATGGAGCAGCTAGAGCGAGAAAGACAAGAGAGAGAGCGACAGGAAAGGGAAAGACAAGAAAGAGAACGACAAGCAGCTCCAGGTCAGTAGAAAATGTTTAACCTCAACAGTCAAGATTTTTTGTAGTTGGATTATGAGACCATTGCTGTCTTCTGCAAGTAGAGACCAACCATGATGTTTTTTTATGATATTCTATTCTATTTATTTGTATAGCACGTTTAAAAACAACAGACGTTGGCCAAAGTGCTTTACATATAAAACAAAACACATACTATCTAAAAATTGTAAAACACAGTAAAACAATCACAAAAATACTTAAAACCGATACAAATTGTGTTTAAGCATCTGATAACCAAAAAGCAGATTAGTTCACTGCTCAGAATTTTTACAGAAGATTTTTTTGAAATCCCTATGTAAGAAGTGAATCAGAAAAGTGGGCTGTCACTGATTTTTTGTTTTGTTTTGTTATGTTATTTACAATCACATCTAATTGCATTCTTAAGTAGAACATATGTGACCCTGGACCACAAAACCAGTCTTAAGTCGCTGGGGTATATTTGTAGCAGAAGCCAAAAATACATGGTATGGGTAAAAATTATAGATTTTCCTTTTATGCCAAAAATCATTAGGATATTACAGATCATGTTCCATTAAATTTTTTTGTAAATTTCCTACTGTAAATATATTAAAACTTAATTTTTGATTAGTAATATGCATTGCTAAGAACTTCATTTGGACAACTTTAAAGGCGATTTTCTCAATATTCTCAGATTTTCAAATAGTTGTATCTCGGCCAAATATTGCCACAAACCATACATCAATGGAAAGATTATTTATTCAGCTTTCAGCTTCATGATGTATAAATCTCAATTTCGAAAAATTGACCCTTATGACTGGTTTTGTGGTCCAGGGTCACATATTATTAAAGGATAATTAATGTGTAGTAACATTATTTGCAATAATGCAAAAAATATTGGTTAAACCAATTTCTACCTTTGTTTCTGAGATAACTATTTTAATAACTTAATTTTTCTGTTTTGAAAATTGTGCTTTTGTTTAACAGTAGTCATTCCTCCTGCACCACCTTTGGCCCCTGGAGGTCCTCCAGCTCCCCCTGGACCTCCACCTCCTCCTGGGCCCCCTCCATCTGGACCTCCCCCACCACCTGGACCTCCTCCCTTGGGAGGAGGAGCTCCACCTCCACCTGCTCCTCCTCTGCCCTCTTCTGGAGGAGGTGGAGGCGAGGGAGGAGGACCAGGTGGCGGTGGTCTCGCTGCTGCCCTGGCAGGTGCCAAACTCCGCAAAGTGCCCAAGGTGAGACAATGAGTGAATAGAGAATCACAGTAAGAGAATATCCAGATGTCAAAGCTATGAGTCACTTCCTGGTAACGTTATTTAGGTCTTGGTGACATCACCTGAAAATTAAATTCCTTTTTAACCAATAATATTCCTTGAACTCTTTGGCTTGTGTGTGCAAGTTAACCGTGTTTTAAGTAAGAAATATGATAAAATCAGTATTTCATGTTGGAGAATGCAGAGAATGAGACACTGGAAAATCTAAAACTTATATAGTAAAAGTTTACAATTTGTAAATCCATTCACAAATATGAAATTTCATATAAATTTACCTATTTAGCTATTTCCTGTAAATGTGGAGCCTGTTCTCCCATGATGTTGCGCACACATATTTGTTCCTGGCTGCTGTTATTGACTCAGTGCTTCCTCCTGCAGGATGATGTTGGTAGTGGCGGAGGAGGAGGTGGCAGTAATGGCAGCAGTGCTGCGGCCAGTGTGGCGGCAACTCCTAAAGCAGACAGCAGCCGAAACAGTGTGTCTATGCCCAGCGGAGGAGGAGGCCTGATGGGAGAGATGAGCGCAATTCTAGCACGACGGTCAGTAGAAAAAAAAATCAAAACCATACAGTAAATGTATACACAGAGCACAGGAACTTCTCTCAATTTAAAGGAGTCAGTTACAAAATAAAAAAAAGGCAGGAACGGAGCAGTCAAACTAAAATATTCACTCAGAAGGAAATATATCAACCTCCGCTGCTCTACTGTTGGAGAAACATGAAGGTCAACTTGGATCACGTGTGCCTTGATAATTAATCACATTATAGCTTTGACATCATTGAGTTGCAGTCAGACTTGTATGTAAAGTGCTGTTTGCAGATACCGCTAAATGAACAAGAAATGACGTAAACACTTATAAAACAATTTTTTTTTCATTGCGAAGTCTTAAATCAAATTGAAGGTTTAATGGCAAACATGTTGAAGAATAGCCGAAAGCCTGTCGATTCATTATGTGATAAGCTGTTTCCTCACGAAAGCAGTTTATTTGGCCTACTGAAGCCTTTCCTCCATTTGACATCCATAAAAAAGTGAAAAAAAAAAAGTTTTCTGTGCAGTTTAATGCTTTCCCCTGATTTCAATTTAGATTTCTTTTCATTGCCACCACAAATCCTTGTAAAACCTACAAGTAGGTGCATAAGAATAAACAGCAAATTAACAAAAAATATATGAATTCTGGACACTGCAGAATAAGGTGTACAATACAAAAAAACAAACAATAAACATAGAGTATTTCATTTCTTCAACCAGCTCATAAGAGCTGATTGAATTGGGCTGAATTCTTCACTCTTTGTTTTTGATTCACTAAAAAGAACCAGACTGATTCATTTGAGAATGGTTGTGCTTTGTTGCATCACTACCGAGTACTAGTTCTGCATTTGTGGAAGAATGGATGTTCAAGAACTGAAAGTCATTTGGTTTGGGTAGTTTTTTTTATTTAAAGGTGGAACTGATTTTAAATAAGAATGGTTCTCAGTTTCTAACCGTAGATTTCACAGGCATAATATGACCACAAAGTGTAATACTGGACTAGATTATTATAATTTCAGTCTTGTAAATTAGTTTTTGGAAATTACTCTGTTTTTCTCTGTTCAACCTGAAAGAAGATGTACTTGCATGACTAGAAAATAACAGCCTGAGGTGTTACCAAGACAGCTGTTGATCGAACAACTTCGGTAATAACCTTGTAAAGTCAAGGCTTTAATAGCAGCAATGTTATAGCACTTACATGAATTCCTCCTTAAATTGATTCCTCATTACAAAAATATTTGTTACTTGAGCTGTGAAGAAGTGTGACTAGGTGGATAAACTTCAGGTTTTGCATTACTGACATAATTCCTGTAACTGCAGGTGCAGAACTCTATTCTATAGTGTTTTATAACTTCCTGGATTACATGTTTGCATATGTTGCATGTTTGTGAATCACTCTGTCCTAGATTAAATTGCCAAATGTGTGCCACCATAAAAGGATAGGTAACCCAATAATGAAAATGGTAACACTTTATTTTGATAGTCCACTTTAGACATTCTACTAACAGTAAGTAACTTTACAACTACATGTCAACTAGAAGTCATTAGAGTATTAGTAGACTGTCTGCTTAATATCTTCTAACACTTTATTTTGACGGGTCCACAACATACAACATACTGACTATGAGAAACTTTGCAACTATATGTCAACTTATTCTACTAACCCTAAACCTAACCTAACAGTCTACTCTGAGAGTTAGTAGACATGTAGTTGCAAATTAATGAGGATTAGCTGACATGTAGTTGCAAAGTTACTTATAGTTAGTAGAATGTCTAAAGTGGACTATCAAAATAAAGTGTAACCATGAAAATTCTTACTGATCTTCATATTTTTCCAAACCCAAAAGACTTTCACTCCTCTTTCAAACACATATATTTTTGATGACATTTTTAGCCTACAACTGAAAGTCCATTCCGCTAAAACTTCGAAAATTCATGAAGACATTACACACACAAGTCTTCTGAAGAGAGACGGCCTCTTTATAAAAGGAAAAGATTTAATTTAGGCTTTTATTCACATAGAAACATTGATGAATAAATAAGTAGATCACATCAAAAATGGTAAACAGAATTTCAAACATGTTTGTAATTTTTCATGATACTTGAGAACAATTTTTTTAAAGGGGTCCTATTATGCTCTTTTACAAAGTCTTGATTTTGTTTTGGGGGTGTACTAGAACAGGCTCTCACACTAGGTTGTTCGAAAAACACATTATTTTTCACATATTTTACATTATTACAACACCTCTCTCCCCAGTCTGGCATGAACGGCTCGAATAGCTCCTGTATCAAATGAAGGCCCGCCTTCTGAAATACGAAATGTGCTGTGATTGGTTAGCTGGGCCAGTGTGTGCTGTGATTGGCTCCACTCTGCGCCTGGTCGGGAAATGTCACGCCCCTTACCATAGCCGCCTGCGAGCTTCAGTGTAAATATTGCGTCAAAATCAAATCAATTTGAGCGCGATTTAAACCCGGATGATTGTAACCACTTTAAGTTCGTCTGCCTTGGGAAAGCTAGCGTGTCTCCGACATAATGATAACACTCGTTGCCTTCTCTAGTTGAAAAAGTGAAAAAGCATAATAGGACCCCTTTAACTGACGCCATGCTACTGATACTGTTTTAGACTTTGAGTAGTAAATAACCCATAATATTCTATGAACTCTTTGGCTTGTGTGTAAAAATGTGCTGTAAATGACTGATGTTTTTAGAACTTTCTGTTGTCATTGTGTCTGTTGATACAGGAGAAAAGCAGCAGATAAAGGGGAGAAGGCACTCCCCAAAGCAGAGGAGCCCAGTAATGTATGAACACCTTCAATCTTTTAAGGCTCATTATGGATTAGTGCTGTCAAACGATGAAACGCATCCAAAATAAATGTTTTTGTTTACATAATATATGTGTGTGTACTGTGTATATTTATATATACATATTATATTATATATACTATTTTGAAAATATTTACATGTTTATATTTGTATTCATATAATTTATATATTATATATAAATATATTTCATATATAAACAACATTTAAAAATATATATATATACATGGATGTGTGTGTATTTATATATACAGTACATAAATATACACAGTACACACACATATTATGTAAACAAAAACTTTTATTTTGGATGCGATTAATCGTTTGACAGCACTATTATGGATAATTGTCAATTCCACAAAAAAAAAAGCTTTTGTGTGATTTTTTTTGTTTCTTTGTTTTCCCCAAACCAGTAAGTGCAAAACCAACCCTGCAGCCGATTCTAAAGATTTCATTATATCAATTGATCACAGTGCTGATTACCTACATAACGCTAAAACAAATTCCAACCTAATACTTAACCTTAGTGTAGCGTTGATTGATAGCATTATTGTGACCAAGATTTTTTTGAAAGTCTAAAATTTTCTTAAAAGTAGACAACGAGTTGACCACTGAAATTGGCTGCGGTGTGGTATTTGTTTGTGGGAAAAATCCTGCAAGAATTTCCTGTAAAATTCCTGTATATCCTGTAACTTTCCTGTAAATCGAGCATTTAAAGTGCATGCAAAAGTCTTAAGTTATTTAAAGAGGTTGTCTATAGACTTGAGATGGAATATAGCCTCTATTACTGTAAATGTAAGTACTAAAATTGAGTTAGACTTGAAAAGCCAGCACTAATACTGAACGCTGAAGAAACACTTTTTCATTCTCCTCTTGATCTGTTTCCTTTCCTTTGCCTGATGATCTTCAGGATGATTCCGACACTCAAGGCCCAGGCGGTAAGAACACAATGCATTTGTGATCGAGATTTGTGACATTTAGATACTCATTGAATGTTTTCTCATTATCTGTGATTTTTCATTAACAGAATTTAGGAGACCATGGGAAAAATCAGCCACCATGCCCAGGTAAACATTCATTTACAGACACTAGATGCTTATTAGTTATACATAGAACTGAAACGTTGTTTGTACCAAGTACCAGCACTGTCTCCATTAGTCTGATGTTTGAAGAACTCCAGCTGTTGAGTATGACTGTCCATAGGGCCCTGTAGTTTAAATTTAAAGTGAAGTGTATATATACAGTACATGTCTCAAACAGGACTAACTCAGCACCCAGAGGTCTGGAGTCACCCTCTTCCTCTAGCCCATTTACCAGGTATTTTTACTATAGTATGCTCTCGTGTGGTTATGGACTAACACTGCTGGCGCCCCCCGGTTCCCCTGCTTCCACACACATTTAACTATACATGCAATAAAGTAGCATACCACTTAAGTCAATGGATTACACTGATTTCACATAGTTTAAAAGGGTTTTTAACATAGCGCTTTGCATCATGGCCAACAACACCCTTTAATCTTGTGAAAATCATGTAACACATGGCCCCTTGTACCTTATAGCTTCTATAAAGTATGTATAGAATATAAAGTATATATATATATATATATATCTCTCACACACACACTACTGTTCAAAAGTTTCTTAAGTCTCTTAAGCCCAATAAGGCTCCATTTTTTTTAGGAGTACAGTAAAAAATAAAATCTTTCCAAATATTACTATGGTTTAAAATGACAGTTTCAAAATATTTTAATATGTAATTTAAAATGTAATTGAAATTTTAGCCGCCTTTACTCCAGTCTTCAGTATATCATGATCCTTCCGAAATTACACTGATATGCTGATTTGGTGTTTAAGAAGCATTATTAATCATATTTTTTATAATATTGCTGTGCTGCTTAATATTTTTTCAGCATTCTTTAAATAGAATTCTCAAAAGAACTATATTTATTTGAAATAGAAATGTTTTGCAACAATGTAAAAGTCTTTAACTTTTGATCAGTTTGCATCCTTTCTTAATAAAACATTATATAAACATTATAAAACATCTATATAACCTATGGTCTGTAGGCTACTATGGTCTTTCTGAATACTTGATTCTGATTGGCTGGAAGGTGTGCATTAAAACCATGAAATCACAGTTCTATACTGAAGCACACACTAGTGTTGTTTTTGGCGGCCTGTTTTAATTTTAGTTTTAGTCTAGTCTTTGTGTGAAACTGTCATTTTTATTTTTATTAGTTTTAGTCACGTTCATACTCTTTAGTCTAGTCAAGTTTTAGTCAACTAAAAGTCTGAGCATTTTAGTCTAGTTTTAGTCGACGAAAACTGATGACATTTAGTCTAGTTTTAGTCAATGAAAATTGTATTTTAGTTATCTTATTATATTATTGTTACCTTATAGACTCAAGAATACATCCATTCCAGACACGGAAGACGCTCTGATTTGAATTTACAACATTTATTTGCTTGAAGAATGCGCTTCCAGCAGCCGTGATAAACAGTTGGCGGTTAAAGTTTTCTATGCACAATTTGATTTGACGAAAGTCACGAGACCTATTACTCTTTATCCAATCACGTTGATGTATAAAAATAAAATTAAAATAAGCATGCAACGACCACAAACGGAGGAAAATAGCGGAGTAAAAGTACCGATACATCACTTAAAATGTACTCAAGTAAAAGTACACAATTTTTAAACTACTCAAGTAGTTTTTATCAGTAATTGTACTTTTTTAATTACTGTAACGTGAGTATTTGTAATTCGTTACTTCACACCCCTGTAAGTTTGTCACGAGTGTATACACACACAAACGGAGTTGGTTCAGGTAGACTGTACTTAACTTGACTCATCATGTCACTGGAGTGGATCTAAGTTTCTGAGCTTGTTTGGCTTCAACTTGTGGGCTTTGGAAAACTCTTTGGCTTTCTGTAGTGTCTGTAGATCTGTGCAGCACTGTCACAGTATTACATGCTTTTTTCAACAGTATTACATGCTTTGAGGGTTCTTGCAGTTGCCTTCAGGCTTGGATTTATTTCATTGATTCTGCTGCTGTTCTCTTATCGTCCACTGGGGGTCTCTCTGTTACTGACTATATTTCTTTTGTTCCCAGATCTGTGTAGGAGCCCATATTAAAGCTGTCTCCACATCCATAACTTTAAACCGCAGTGTCACTTTTTGCCCAAATTCATATGAACCTTTTTAAATAGTGTGCAAGGTTAGAATTAGCACCCAAAATTGTTCTTTAAAATATGAAGTTAGAGGTGCACAGCTGATGGGCATTTTTCAAAATGTATATCCTTGCAAATTTGTCCACTTGAAAATTGCATACATGCCCTTGTCCATTGAAAGAGGAATTTCTGCTTTTTAAGATAAAGGAAATGCATGAATATAGAAATGAACTGCGCTCATAGCAGCCTTTTTGTAATGACATTCCAGTTGAAGCCATGGAAGTGGATGAGACTTTGATGTTGGTCTTTCCTTTGAATAACTCTAAAAGTCTCTTTGGACTTCTTTAGACCGGTTTATTGCATTTTGGGATGGTGTACAGACCATTGCTTTTGCCTTCCCTTTTTGTTCTTGTTTTTCCTATTCTTTTTTCCTATTTCTATTTAATAAATACTTGTTTTCCTGTATTTTCAGGATGAAACCCAGTAGCCAATCAGCAGAGCCCGAGAGTGGAGAAGGAGAGTCAGAGATGGAACGAATGAAACAGGTCAGAACTGAAGTCGATAAACGAATAGCTAACCATACAGGTCAAAAGTATCAGAGTGCCAGTGCACTCTGATAAGTTGATAGGACAATGCATGCATACATACACAAAATATATCCATGGAACATGATCTTTACTTAAAAAGAAAAAATCATAAAAAAATCATTTTCATAAAAGAAAAATCAATAATTTTGACCCATACAATGTATTTTAGCGACTTAAGACTGGTTTTGTGGTCCAGGGTCATATATATATATATATAACCCTAGATATTACAAAGATTTATTAGCATGTGAACATGAATTTGTTTATATGTGTCCATCTGATGTTTAGGAACTGCTAGAGGAGGTGAGAAAAGAGCTTCAGAAGGTTAAGAATGAAATCATTGGAGGTGAGAAAATCAATTTGTCCTCTGCATTTCTCTTCCTTTTTCAAATGATTATTTGCTGTATTCATTTATTCCTGTGTGTTCTTTCACAGCCTTTATTCAGGAGTTACAGAAACAAGGATCTACATAGTCCCACAGAAATTGATGGGAAGGGATCACTCGGTCCTGAGAACCCAGGGATACACACACACACACACACACACACACACACACACACACAC